CGTAGAAGCTAATAGCTTATCACAAAGCTACGTAACTATTTGTTATGTCAAATATTTACAGGCTAAAAGTTGTGTATTAAACGATAAGATTAATTATATACTACAAGTATTAACAATGTTCATATTTAATTATATATATGTATATATATATAAAGAAAAGAATATGTAACTGCTCGTTGCAAATTCATATCTTTTTCTTAAAAACAACTATGTGATTTTCTTACACCAATCAATTTCTCATTATTTTGTGCATAAAATTATTGAGATAGGATAATCAAAAAGTAAATATTCTATAAAATATTTCATAGTTTATGTAAAATTATGTAAAATTAAAATATAAAATATCTCGTAAACTATTAAATTTTTGGCCATATACTACCCTTATAATTTTTTACCATAAATATTGCGAGGAATCGATTTATGTAAAAAGGTTAAGGTGGGTTTATCTAAAAAAAAATAAAGACCATCATATAGCATCATCTTATATCTCTCTCGAAATCACAAAACTTCTGTACAAAACATTTTTTTATAAAAGATGTAGGAAAAAAGATATTTAGGTGGAGACATCAAAATGTTTCACCCTGTATTATATACATACGTTATATTAAAATATCAAAATATCACAAAATATTATATACAGTTTATATACAGAGTATTTCCAGACAGCTACGATAAACTTAAAGGGGTGGTCATTAATTTGAACAATTTTTGTTAAGTATTCGGCAACGCCTCCTAAAGGCGCTAAACATTAGTTTTAGCTTTGTTAAACACTGTTTAATTCTATAACGTTATTATTTTTTATTTGTTATAAAACAAAAAAAAATAAACACAATTTAAAAACATACAATTTTTTTTATTCTAACTGGACTTAAGCTTACAGAAATAAACAGCATTTAGCAAAGCTAAAATTGATGCCTAGCGTCTTTAGAAAGGCGTCATTGGACACCAATATTTAACAAAATTGTTCAATTTAATGAGATTTAAGAAACACTCTATTATATAAAATATATAGACAATATATAATTTTATTTTTCATTGAATTTAAAATCGACTGTCAACATTTCACAATTTAAGAATTAGAGAGATAATTTCATGATTTTTGAGGTTCAATATTAAAAAGTTGACAAAAATAATATTATATTTTTATTAAAATAAAATATGCTCCCAACTGGAAAGAAAAAAAGGATAAGAGAGAAGAGGAAAAAGAGGAAGGAGGATCGGAAAATCTTTAGATACAAGGAATCTGAAACACATAATGTAACTTTTCTTTAGAAAAGCATACAGTACGTCATAAAATGACCACCTCCGATGGCGATAATTGTATCCATTTTCGCGAAACGTTGCCCCTGCTTTCGTAATTGATCACACGATCGATCACGTCTATTTATTAACGGCGCTCGCGTCTTCCTGCTCTTATTTTACATGGCTTTTGTTTTTGTTTTTTTTTTCTCTCCCCAGTCGCATTTGCACGCGCTTTCCGTGATCGATCAATCATCCGCGTTTTTCGACGCGTCACGACGCGTCGTCGGCGCGTCGATGGTAACGGATCGGTAACCGCGGAATGTGACATTACGGATTTTGCAATAAATGCGGCGACACGCACGGACGATTTCCCGTACAGCGAGCCGGGAGAGCTTGGCCATGTAACAACCGCAATGCAGGTTTTTATACGCGACACGCATTTCGGCGCATTGGTGGATATCCGGTGTCGCGGACACGCGCCATGCAACGTGTAACTGGTAGCAGATTGGTCATTGATGCGCGATAGTTCGCAAATGCAGGCGTTATAATCACCTAAAAGTAGAACGTGATGTAGCGTCGAGGGCTGAATGGTAGGTATCAACCAGCGAATCGAATTCCGCATTAAAAACCTACCTGCACTTCTACTCGCATTTTATTTTGTTATAACGATTCTTACGATTAGCAGAGCGGAAGAAGGGGAGAGAAATAACAATTATTTTCATATTTATACTACTCTAAATTATGATTTATTTCCGAGTTTTTGATAACGATTAAATAACTGAAATAGGCGACAATTTTACAAAAATAGCTGCTTAATTACAATTTAATTGAAATTTATTAAAGTTTAATTGAAATTTGTCGTCAATTCAAAATGTTTCATATGTTTCATGCGTTTTATGTATTTTATGTGTGTTATGTTTTATATCAAATTTAAGAAATTCAGTTTCTTATTTTTCTTATTTTTCTATGAAACTGACGCACTGCCATCCGCGTTCTGGCTCTTACTAGCCCGCGATTATTTGAATTTATGTTTTATATGTTTTATATGTTATATATTTTATGTTTTATGGATAATAATAATTCTTTGGCTTTCTTCATATCTTGAAATCTTCATACAAATTAGAGTTACAATAATAGATAAGAAAGAAAAAAATTTATTATAGATATTATTTTATAATAGTTACTTTAAATTGAATGTGTCAGATTTCTCAGAGAGAAATAAATCTATTATTATCCATTTTAATAAATTTTCCATGGATTAAATGTATAATGTTTTAATTATTATTATACAAATTTATTCTTTTCAGCGATATGACTTTAAGTTGCTATAAAAGTGTTACTTTTACATTCACAAGATATATTTCGCAGTTAATTATTATTTATCATCGAGACATCTCTGTTAAACGCCAAAAAAAATCGCCCTGAGAGCCGCGTGATATACCTCTTACATGCATGTAATTAAACATCTTACGTACATAAAGTACATACACATACACACACACACATACATTCGCACTTTTTCACCATAATGCGCAATCATCATTGCCGATCACGATAAATTACAGTCATAATGCGCCGTTTGACCTTTCATCACGGATGGCTGTTCATCGCGTTGCAGTTAATCATTTCTACCACACGCGGGACTGACGGTGCAAAAAATCGCGGTCGATCTTACGCGCCTTTCTCGTGACGGAAAACGTTCCTGTAATCGTCGGCGCTCGTTTCGCGCTTCGTATCGCGCGTTCCGACCATCTCTTCTGCCACGCCTCGTGTCTCACCGCACTATAGCGCCGCGCCACATCAAGAGCCGTCCAGCGGAACGACTTTAACGAGGCGGCGTCCATTACACGCGTAAATCGAGCCCGCGCATTGACCGGCGATTTACGGCCGGTCGGCCGCGCTTTGTACAATGAGAGGGAAAAGAGTCTCGCCATCGTCATCGACAAAGATTTGCCTCATAGATATCTATGGGTGCTTTCCAGTAAGGAGACACAGAGAGACACTATGTCGTACAATTGAACACAATGTATGGGTGCTTGATGGAATAATCTAATATTCGATATAGTCACTAGTTTACGCTAATGTAAGTTTTTTTTCTCGATCTTAATAACGATCTGAAATATATAAAATAAATATCATTAATAACATTAAAAATTTTTAAAACATCTATGAATATATTAAAACAATATCAATTAGAGAAAGAGAGAATCTATCAATTATAATTTAAGAAAACGGACTGTCTTGTTTGACATTGATAACTTTAATTATATTATCAATCATTTATTTTGATTAAAATTAAATTTTTGTAAAATAAATTTCAAATTATAATCATAATTTTAATATACAAATTTTTACAAAAAAATGTTTAAGAGATAGATATTTTTTAATAGAGAAAGCATATTTATTTCATGTATGCAGTGCTACAAATATAAAAATTTTAAAAGTTATTAGAATTTATAATCATAATTTTCGACACAAATTATCTCGACTTTGCTTCACAGATGTATCGAGTTGTGTCGCGTTGTAGGAAAGCACCTGTGTCGACTCTGTGTAACACTGTATCATTTGTGTTGCTTATTTGAAAGCATCCTATATAACGCATTAGACTAGGGATGGGCAATTTACGGTTGATTAATCTATGTTCAATTCTTTTTTTATTACAATATCAATTAGCTTTCCAATGCTTACAAACATCTATTTATTGTTGGCGAGCAAATGAGATAAGAAAAGAGAAAAATGGGTGAATACATGTACAATCGTACATTGGGTCAAATAGTGAATTTGAAATAGAAGTAGACGAAACGAGCTATGCAGTGAGATGACGATGTCGCACATTTGTATCTATCCACATATTCCGTATTCGACACAAAAAAAAAAGGAGGAGGGCGCGAGCACGTTTGCATGTCGCACTTATACGTGACACTCGTCTACATAGGAAAGAAATCGAGTGTAAAAGGTATAGGCGGAGACAACAAATTCTTCGTGTGCACACATTGTGCCCCGACATATTCCCGCACGTTTTTGGATTCCTGTGTCACGAGCGGCGCGACGGACGTCGGCTTCGAGTCGAGAGCAGCGCGACGCGACGCGACGCGATGCGACGCGACACGTCCGTTTGACGTCGAATTAGCGCTGCTCGGCGGACGCGATAACGTCGCGTGCGAGTTCACTCACCCTTTGCGGCTGTCACGACCGATCTCCCTTTTTCGAATTCAGACTCGCGACGAAAGAGTTGCGGATTCGAGAGACATAAACGGGATCGGCGAATTTATCCAGAGATATAATTTATATTCCTGTTACCACACTAAAAATACTATAATTCTCGTACCGTGTGATCTATGACTTCTCTCTCATAACTTTGATGATATTCAATTTTAAATTTTTTACGGCGAAGCGCAACATATAATATGTATCTGTGAAAGTGTGAGCATAAATAAAAAAATACCATGAAAAGTTGTTTAATTTTAATTTTATTAATTTCGCGCTCCATAACATGCTGTTAATTTATACGTTTTTTACATAACATCATATAATATAATAAAGTGATAGTTCAAATTATTGTAGAATTATCGCTTTATTCTGTAATGATATATGAACATGATAAATCATTGAAAGAACCTTCTACAAGCGCAATACTTTTATAAAGTTTTCACATGTATCTAATCATTTCTATAGTCTTTCTTATTATTAGGAATCCAGATAAAGCTTAGAATATTCTTTTGTTTATATATTTCCAAGAAATTTTTTTATATTATTAATCATGAGCAAAAAATCAAACTTTTGGCTATTTTATTGTGTGTTAGCAGTTTTTATTCTCTTTTTTTCACCTATCTAATAATACTCATAAAGAATACACTATAGTGTATTTTATATATACAATATAATAGTAGATTTTTTAACACAAATTTTTTAAACAATACAGAGTTTTTATCGGTTTATATTATATATTGCTTAATATTAATGTTCTTATTTTGTGCGTTTCTGAAGCCTCACACACACACACACACACACATTTTACATACATTTTCGACGATAAATGCACTTCTTACATCATCGCCCACATAGCGCTACGCGCTGCACGTTTTTCCCGAGCGAACGGTTTCTCGGTTGCGATCCCAGCCCGGCTGTTGGGATATCGGAGAGTAGTCGCCCTTATACGAGAAAGCGGTAACGGAGATTCCGAAACGTTCGAACCGTTCCCAACCCCCATTCTCCTTTCCAGACTCGAGTCGTTCTAGACTCAAACTCGGAGGCGCGCAGTTAGGCGGTCGCTGGACCCCTCGATGCAATGTACAACGGGTGAGCTAAGAAACACGCGATATTTCAACGTAGAAGATATAGAAGGCAATCAAAAAAATAATGTGACAAAAAAAATAAATCCGAAAAATTTGAAAGCTATATATTTCATAGAAGGCCGAGAGCCTGCTTATTTGGGAGAATCTTGAGAAAAGAATAACAAAGTTTTGTGGATTTTGATTAAATTTAAGTTTAAACTCTCTCTCTTAATAATTTATTTATTCCCCGTTTGATATATATTTCATTAGATAAAACTTTTAAATAAATTTAAATCTTGTTTTTTACTGATCACCCGATATATTGTTTCGCCAACAGCGGCGCGAAAGGAAGAGCCGGCGAAAGAGACGACAGGCGAGTGCGCGAGTGCCGTTCAGCGTAGAAACGGGGTTGAGGCCATGAAGCAGCTATGTACAGTGTGTTCCAGAAATCATGCATTTTCTCTTATATAATTATATATATCAAAGATCAAATTGTAGAAAAGCTGTATATATATTTCAATGTATAGACAACGACAATACATCCGAGTTATTAGCGATCAAAAATTATATAAAACAAAATTTAGAATTTAAGTAAAAAAAATTAACTTAAATAAAATATAAATTTTTAAAGTTTTATATGTATATATATGTTAATCTTTTATTGCCAAAATTAAAATTTTTATACGCGTATAAAACATGCTATTTTTATTTTTGGACTTTATCAGTTTTGTCTAACGATAAGAAGTACCGCCATTCTTATTAGAATTTTTTTGGTACAAAAAAAAATTATATGCAAGGAAAGGCTAGAGTTCAAACGTTCACTCGGAGACAAAATTGATACCATTTTTTATAAGAACCTATAGTCGAGAGAAAATCCATGATACTTAGGATACCTTGTATACAGGACGTGAGGGATACAGTGCTTCAGTTCGTGCGGTTGTTCGCTTCTCTTTTTCTCTCTCTGTCTCTCTTTCTCTTATCATCTCACCGCCGACATCCCTGAAAGAAGACGGCGAGCTAGCGCGAAAAGGAAGGAGAAAAAGAGTGAATCAAGCCGAGTGCGTGCCATGGAGAGAGCAAGGAGTTGGGTGAACGGAGAGGATGGTGAGTGGAGAACCGCGCTACTGACGTGACATCCGTATCCATCTGTATGCCTGACACAGAGACGTGCCATGGCTGTGTTCGCGTGTGGGTGTACATATGCGCGCGAGTGTCGATACGTGCGCATGTAGCAGCGGCGGCGGCTGTCTGCCGCTGCTCTAGAGGCGCCGGCAGTTTGATGGAGGTGGCAGGAGCGGAACTATGGTACGACGTGACGAACGAGGAGAAAGAAAAAAAGCGAAAAGAGAGAAAAGTGGAAGAAGAGATAAAAACTGAGTTAAAAGAAAAAATAGAAAATTATATATATATATATAAAATAAAAAGAAAAAGGAATAAACTATAATAGATTCATAATTACTATATTTTGTTTTCGTACTATATATTAGTATTTATAAGATGTGTACGTCAAGAACTTGCCAGATCTGCTTTTAATTGCGGCAAGTGGAGATTAAAACGATTATAATTGTTTCATTGTCAACAATGTAAAGGCTAAAATTATATTATTATTGTAAGCGTAATGGAAACTTGTCCTATCATGTGGACTCTAATTAAACAAAATTTTAAAACCAGCATGATATTTTTCGTACTAACTTCTAGAATTCCTTAACTACTAAACTGACTATTAAAACATTATGGAAAAAAAACTTACTTGCAGCAGAGCAATCAGGATTTTGCAAAATCTGTAAGTGCAAAGAAAGTTTATTGCAAAAAGTTATTTGTTTTTGATTAACGGAGCATTGTTAAGAATATATATATATATATATATATCATTCATTTCATAAATTTACCGGAACGGCTATCCTTACGCTTAGAATAGCTGGCTCACTGTGCACAACTCTAATAGATATATTGAATAGTGTAAACAATTTTAATTTTATTAATGACATAAGTAAAGTTTTAAATAACTCTCCTAATTTAAATATCTGATATTGGTTAGCAAACAAGAAATGTGAAGTGATTTTTTCCCCTTTTTCGCATTTTTCCCTATTCTTCTGAATCAGCAATAACATCACTGATTAAAGCAATGATAAGATTTCACTGAAAAACAATGAGTATTTTAATGAAAACACTCACACTCTATTCCTCCGTCTTATGTTTCACTGATTACAGCAGATTACACTAAAAAATCAGCTATTACCGCTAACTGATTCTATTCATTATCAGTGAAATTTTACTGTTTGCAGTGCTGTACTCATAACTAGCATCATTGCTTATCAACGATAATATACTGATTATATTTAAGAAAGTGCAATAAAAATTAGAACAAATAACAAAGAAATTGATTAAGTCATGTTTAAATTCAAATATACAACATCGTGCGATATGCAGATCACTAGTAAAATTACGAATAATATATAAACTAATGCAATGCAAAAAATATTCTAAGATAAAAAAAAAATGCGATGGATGTATGAAACGTTAAGAACAGTACGAAACAAGAATTTAACACAAAAAAACCTCAAAGAGATAGAATGGAAGAAAAAAGGAAAGAAGAGAAAAAGATAAAAGAGTAATGAATTAAATAAAATAGTAGAAAATTAAAGATAGGATTATATATATATATATATAGTTTTGAAGTCTCAATACGAGAGCCGCGAAAGAAAGTTCATATTCAGGATGAACGGGAAGGCAGCCAACGTGGAGTAGACGAGAGGAGACGTACAAGAAGCGACAGTGGCGAGGAATATGAGAGAAGGTGGATGAGAAAGCAGCGGATGTCTCTCGATGCGGCTCCGTGTCGAGCTCGATAATATTCGAGGACTCGGGGAAAGGCCGGTCCCAACGCCGTAATCCTCGAGTGGCAGGGGCCATGGAGCGACGCGGACAGAAGAGGATAGGGTGGGGAGGAGGGAGAAGCGGCTGATACGCCTGATATCTGCTTTCGAACCTGGATCGATGATGCCTTGTGCGATGCAGCATCGACGACCATTGGCTATGGCTCGATAAGCCCAGGAAGTCCCGCTCGAAATCCGAGACCGAGGGATAATCAGGAGTTACCGCCGTGGCTTCGGCGTGGTGTTGCAGACTCATACGCGAAAGGGGATTCTCTTCCCCCTCTTCCCCCTCTCTCTGATCGGAATACATTATTGCGGATGTAATGCCGTGACGCTTTTAACAAAAGAAAATTAATATCTCTTTTCGTTTCCTCTCGAATTGTATTTTTGGACAATCGTGTAAGTAGTAAGTATCCGTTATGAGCAGACATAACGCCGTCTGACGAAAATGAATACATGTCAAGTAATGTTACAATTATTGGACTTTGTAGGCTCGAATTTTCAGGAAGAATCCAATATTTTGAATATTTATCGAATATCATACGAATATTCAAAATTTATTGTTCTAATATTATTTTTATAATGGTTACTTGTGGTAAAGCGGATCCTAGTTTTTATTCTACTTTTGTATTCCATTATATTTAAAGGCTAATCGAAGTTCTTATTGAAAATGCCGAAATAAAATAATTGATTTCATTGCAACAATACGTGACAAATAAAATAAACTGTGTATATAACAAAGTATAATTTATCTCATTTTGGTATTTATAATATTATGGAAATGGATTGTTTTAATTTTATACGTGTGATATTATGTAAAATATCTCTATCAGAGTATATATATTTTTTAAAAAGATACATTTAAAAAAAATTATATTAATAATCAAAACAATTATATAATTTTTTTTTTTTAAATTGCATATTAGTGTGTATGTGTGTATAATTCTCTTACACAAATTTTTAAAAAATTCAAAAACGATTAATAAAATTAAGATATATAATTAGTAGTGAATAATTGTCAATCTACATTAAAAACTCTTTTCCAATTCTCGAAGCGTTTCTCCCACCTTTTAGATTTAGTCTTGAAATTCTCGCCGTGCGACGAGGATTGAAAAATGCACAGCCAGCCTGGACATGCCACGAGCCGGATAAGAGTGGACGGTGGCATCAGCTTAAACAAAGTCTCCAATCCATAACCCTTACCTATCACTGAAGTCTCAACCCTCCAATGCCACACTGCTCACATTTTACCGCTCTGTCGTGCTACACGCACATAGTCGTGTAAAGATGTGAGTGGCATGAGGCTACTGGTTATATACCGACGACGTCGTCGTCGTCGTCGTCGTCGTCATCGTCGTCGTCGTCGTCGTCGTCGATATCGATGAGAGTACGGGAAGTAGGGTTGAATCTATACCGTGTTACGTGCCAGCCACGCGACGCGCCTGATTAAGGAGCCTGCAGGCAGGCGAAAGGGTGGCTCGCTTTCCTCCGCCTTCCCTTTTCTTCATCGTCGGCAAGTTCTTCGTGTTGGTCTTCGTAGGAGAAACAAGATGAAATCTGCAGATCGCAAGCCTCGTAATGGTTGGTACAAAAAAATATTTCTATTAGTATGCTATGCATCGTGCTAGACGCTAGTTGAGTCGAGAGATAAATTGAAGATCGAGAATAAAACTTGCTATTTTTTTCTGTAAATCTTCTATTGTAGAGAATACTATAATGTATTTAATTCGCAATTTACTTTCTCATGGATTTCTCTTTGTGTATGTATTGAAAAAGTTGAAATTAAATTCTTTATATGGTCAATAGTTTTCAATAAATTCAGATAACTATATATCTAAAAATCGTTAAAATCAGATATACAATGATCCATTAAATAAAACAATGAAACTCATCTTTGTATTATATTTGATCGAACGCAGATTTAATTTATAGAAAATTATTTCTACTTTCAAATTTTCTATAAAAAAAAAAAAAAAATAAAAAAAATAATCTATGGGAGAATCGATTTTTCGTGATTTGAAGAATTTCGAGTCGTCGACGAGACCGACAGGTAAGGTTAGATTCGCTCGAGTGAGGATGGTTAGAGGATAGAGAAACGAGGTTGAAGCTTCTATCCCGTATTACGTGCCGGCGAGGCGTCAGGCCTGATTAAGGATCCTGCGGGGGATTTGCCTGCACACGGCGTCAGCTCGTTTCAACTCCCTCCCGAAGCGACGACTCCTTCGGATCGACCTTTGCGAGACTCTGCGACGGAAATTCCCGGGAATGAGCGCGCCTTCCCACGACGATCCTTCGTTTTCGCGGAAGATACCGTTTGTATGCTCACAGAATTACATAAACGTGTCAAGAATTTTGCGACTACATGAGAAACAGCGTCGATGTCGCGAAAAATAAACGATACTCTTCTCTTCGAATCCTATCCCACACACACAGTTTCGCCAATCCAAATTTATATTTTTTATTGAAATGTTTTTTTATAGAGATTATTAACTTTTTTAAGAAAATGAATTTGTGTAAATTTGATTAAACAATATTTATAAAGTCAGCAATATTTCTAAATAATTTGTCTCACTTATATAAACTGTCCTATATTCACTGCATGTCCTTTTTTTGTGAGCTTTTCGAGCAATTTGGAATTGACTATTCTTAACAAAAATATCGATGTTAACAGTTTTGTAATAATTAGCAATATAAAAATTCTAACAAATTAATACATAGTAAAATTTTATTTATTTATTCATATTATCCTTTTCATTAAAATCTCTTTCTTTTTTATTCAAATATATTTGATTATCTAATTTTACGAGCAAATAGATCTTAAAAAGAATTTTAATTCGAGTATTACAAATATATTTTATGTTAACAAAATGCTATCTCTTTTTTGCGCAAAAAATAAAAGAATAAAGGAAGAAGACGAGAAATATTCTCGCACATGTTTGAGTGCGCAGGAGAACGAAGGATTTCGACTCTCGAGCTTCCTTTCCAGAATGACGAAGACGAATGTCGATCCGTGCGCAGGATATCGAGAGCTCAGGCTTCGACCCCGACCGGACCGAACCTTCCGCTCGTCTCGTCCATTTTTCTCTATATCCCCGACCTTTTTTCCTTCGGCAAGCGGTAGCCGGTTAAGTGCCCAGGGAGAACGATGAGAAGGTTCCTCTCTGATAACGACCAGAGGAGCGACCCAGCTCGTCCGTCCTACCTCGCCACGATCTTTTTCCAAGAATAATCTTACCTCCCATTTCTTCGTGTCGTCTTCGTCGTTTCGTCGATAGAACGCGAATATAGTCTCACCGGAATTATTGAGCAATAGGACTGCAGGATATGAGTGGACTTTTGATTTCTCTTGTTTTTGTCGAGCAAAGTCTCATTGTCAGCGATACATCATTATAACAATCTTTTTGCAATGTTGTATATGTCGAATATACATATATAACAAAACAAATTACATAATATGATAAAAATAAAAACCATCTTACTGAGGTGTAAATATTTTCTCGAAAACATTATGTCCGGGAAAATGTGTAATTATGCATATTTAGAAGATTAAAATACACACGCACTCTCTCTCTCTCTCT